GATACATACTATTTATTATTATATATATAACAATAATATTAAAATAATAATATAATATATATATTCTTTTTTTAATTATGTTTTTTATAAATTGTTATTCTAATATATAATTTTTTTTCCATATCTTTAACATATAAATAAAAAAATAAAACTATTATAATAAATACAATATACATCTATAAAAAACATGTTATTAAATATGTTATTAAATTTATGTTTTCTAAAATTTTTTTAAAAATATATTAAATATGTTATTAAAAAATATGCAAATTACATATACAAATATACTACTAAAAAATATATAAATCACATATGCAAAAAATATGCAAATTACATATACAAATTACATATGCAAAAAATATATTAAATATGTTATTAAATATGTTTTTAAAATTTTTTTTATTATCAGTACATTTATACTACTAACAGTATATACATATATTCCTAACCACAAAATACATATACAAATCTAATCTATATAATACATATAAAATCTATAAAAAAATGCATAAATACCTCTATATAATTTCTTCAATAAATTTGCGTCTTCTAGTTCTTGGTGTTCTTCAAATTTCTCTACAAATAATAACGAACAATCGAACAAATACCATGTTAAATACTTCATTCCAGTATAAAAAATAAAGAACAAACGAAATAAACATTTAACATAATATGAATACCTTAGATTTCTTCAACAAATTAGAATGGAAGAAAATTGTTTCGCGAAATTGGGTTTGAGAGGAACAATTTTGAGTTTGTGAGAGTTGCTGTAATGTTTGAGAAGTAGCAAGGAAAGGAAGAAGAAGAAAGCACGCTACTGTAAATCAAAACGTTAACATATGTAACTTCTAGTAGCGACGTGACTGTCACGTCGCAACGTTGCCACGTGATAATCACGTCGCTACAAACTAATCATAAATACTATTCTCTCTCCAACACTGCGCAGCGAAATTATTTTTCCCCCCAAAAATTTAGCGACGTGGCTATCACGTCGCTACAAAATTTCAAACTTCCCTCTGAAAAACGTTCACCAATTTCCATTAAATGTCATTAAAATATATTAGCGACGTGGTTATCACGTCGCTACTACCCACGTGATAAGCACGTCGCTAATATATGTCGCTGGGGACATATATTTTTATAGTGTAATGAATTTAAGAGTTATTTTGTCTCTCATAGTAAGTAATTTGATCCTCATTAATAATCAAATTATTGTGTTTTTTTTAATCTTTTTATCTTCTTTTGTCTTGTTGTGTAATTGTCTTCACTTTTTACTAGATTATTTTGGTTATCGTTATTTTTTATTCATACAAATCAAATTTTGTGTCTAAATTCTAAATAATTTTATCAAATATTTTAAATTATTCTACCAATTTTTCGCATTATCTCTTCTTACACTCCATCTCATCTCTTTTTTTTACGGCTTGCTTTCTCAACCAATCCAAACCCTAAACTCAAATAAATTCACATCACTTTTATTCAATTATGTTATTAGTTCGAATAGTCTTTTTTCGACTAACCAAACATTATTAAAAATATGTACATCAATGAATACTGTATTGTATTTTGTAATGAAGGATCATATCAGCTTCATGGGATTAGGACAACTTGAATCCATGAAACAAAGGTGTAACATAAGAATGAAGATAAAACCAAACTAGTCTTCACAATAATCAAATCCTCTCAATCGATTGAAAGGAGATATATGACCAAAATGAATGTTCAGTTACACTAAAAATCATATTCAACAGTAATACTCCATAACATTATTTGACGTCTTACGTTCATCTAACGTTGTTCATCTTTCTCTTTCGGTCCGACAAATATGAATATATACCACTTTTAATTTTTTTTCTAGGAATGTAACACTCATCTAAAAAATGAAAACTACACACCATACACAAATCAACTCTACATGTGCAAAGAGTCATTATTATTATTATTATAGAATAAGAATATTGAATTTGAGACGAGGAGACAAAAGGATAATGAATGGTTTGTGAAAATTTGAACAAACAGTTGCGACAGATTATGGGCTGTCATGAATTATTTTTTCACATAGAATCAAAGAAAACATGAATCTAACGTAAAACGTTAAGACCCCACAACACTATCACTTTACGTACTGTCTCACTATACAGTGAGTCAACTAACAAAAAAGTTCATGTTTAAGATTCATTACCATCACTTTTTTCCTTTGGACACATAGCTTGTAAAATCTGAATTTCCAAAATAAATGTCTTTTTAACCAAAAAAATTTATCTAATTAATTATGTCTTCACTATTTTCAAGATATTAAATTTTTGTTTACTTTTATGATAATATTAAAAATAACTCATAATCATTAAAGACAATTTTATAAATGTGTTATATTTATTCTTTCACTCGTTATTATTTATAATTTGTGTGTCATAACTTAAAAAAAAAAATTATTTTGAGAAGGGAGAGTAGATATTTTGGAATGTATATCCCTTGCCTTGCGGGAAAAGTAATACCCTAGCAAGAGAACATAAAAGTCAGAAACTTTTCAGTTTGAGGAGTACTCTATCTATTAGTATTATTAGTTCTAACTGGCACTCGTAAATATAGATGGATTATCAAACAAGAATGGCCTTATGGCCCCCCAAACAGTTGCTACCTACTTGAGAATTGGTAGTGTTTTAAGGTATACAATGTGGAAATGAGCAATAGATAGATGTGTCAAATGAAGCAGATACAATCCATGGCGCTATATTACAAATATGGGCCCGACAGAACCAATCATAGTTTAATTAATGATTTTTATTTATTTCTAACACAGTCTCAAAAACGATTAATTAAAATTAAAATTAAAATTAAAATTAACTTTATTAATTACTATTTATTGTAAATAACTATTTACAATTCAAAAATAATTTTTAATTAATTTATTGAATTAATTTTTGTAAGACTAAAATTATTTTATCAAATTTATATTGTCCCGTATTTTTTTAATCAAAAATAAATATTTATAATTTTTTTCGTTTGGATAGTGAAATGACTATTTCACTATTAATGGATTTCAACTTAAATTTTTGACAAAAAAAATAATTACAACTTAAATTGTTTACCACCTTGCTTATATGAATAATTTGAATGAATATTTTTTAAAATATACTTATTTATTATTTATTAAAAAATTACACGCATCATATTTAAATAATAAATATTTATGTATTTAATTATATATGTTAGAAAGATATAAAACAGTATAAATTTTATTCGAGAGATTGGTTTTTGCTGTTGCACCTCTGAGTAATACAAAAAAAAAATCATAAATATTAAATAAATTATTTGATTTTTTTACAAATAAGCGTAACTTTGATTTACATATTTTCAGACCAAATTAAAATATGACATGAAATATTAAAAATTAATTGGAGTTAAATAATTTTACATCATATTTATTTATAGACAATTTAAAGAATTTAACAATATTTACCCTATTTATTGAATTACCTAATTTATTTAGACAATATATTTTTTTTGGAAGCAAGTTGTCTATGTATTTAAGAATTATATATTTATATATATATGAATTGAATCTAATAAATAATGATTTAATTAAATTATTTTTATATAGGATTAATCCTAATATTAAAATAAAATATATCATAAACATTTAATTTTTTATTTTCCAAAATTAAATATTAATAATAATAATAATAATAATAATAATAATAATAATAATAATAATAATAATAATAATAATATATTAGTATTATTATTAAATAATAAATATTAATAGTAATAAATATTTATTATTATTATTGATTATTTTTTACTCATAATATAGATATTAATAATTTATCATTATTATTGTCACATTTTCAATAATCATATCAGTTAAATTTTGAATATAAATAATATTTTTTTTCTTTTTTTAAAATAAACATATGTAAATAGGAAAAAAGAAGTCAAATGATGCTTTTATTGAAGAAGGTTTACGATTTTGTATTAAAAATTTAAAGAATTATTATTATTTATTATTGTTCATATATCACATAAATAAAATCGTCATAATTACTCATTATTATTGTAAAAAAATTTATAAATCATAATAATTACTGAAAATATAAAAATGGTAATTAATTAATAAATTAATTGTTAACCAATTTTAATATAAAACAATTGGTAGTAAAGATAAAAGTATAACTTTTTTAGTTTTTTTTTACAAATAGAGACATCATTTGGTCTTTCAACATGCTAATTTATCCACTTTGAATAATTGGTATTTTCAAAATATTTTAAATAAAAATTCAAAAGTTTTGTAAATATAAAATATAAAATAATAAAATAAAAATTTTCTATAAAATAAATTATTTATAAAATCCAGTAATCAATTAACTCACAATCATTCAAGAAAAAAAAACAGATAATTTAATACCTATATAATAACTATTGTTAATTCTTTTTATAAAGAACACAACCAAAATATAATCATTTATGATCATATAATATTTTTTGATGATTTACTATTCTGGTATTTTATTTTATAAGTGATTTGTTTACTATATTTTAATTTTTAATTATAAATAAAATGAAATGAACCTTTTAAAAAAAATTAAGTTTATAATTTTTTATACAAATTTAATATTATATATTATATATGTGTCGTTGACTCGTAACTTATTCCTCTTTATAAATATAGATATTGAATTTGTGATCGTGTCCTTGAAATTATTTTAACCAAAAATAAATTATACTCAATTGTGTAATAATCTAAATCTTTCTTGTATAAATAAATTTTAAAGAAAATATTGATAAAGAAGGAATATGTTTGAGAGCATTTATATAGATTTATTTCAAAATTAAAAGAATGAATTTGATTGAGAGAATTGTAAAAATTTTAAATATAAATTATGTGTTTTTATTTAAAGATTTGATTTATAAGTAAGCAGCCTAAAATCTTATATTGTTGTGCAAATGGGATATCAACGATTTTCAATGTATCGGAATGAAAAGATGAATTACTTATTTATTTAGAGGATGCTTTGGAATGCAGAGAGGTCTATAGAAAACATAATACAGAACATATCAAACATATCATATCAGACACAAAATAATTATCATAACACATAAAAGAGATAATATGTTAAATTCAAGGCGAATGGTCAAATTAATAATAACACAGAGATCAATCTCATTCTCATCAAAAATCTTTTATGACAACACTTCAAACACAACATTCATAACTAAAATTCATTATTTTAATATTAAAAACAAAAAAAAGACACAAAATAACTAAACATACCCAGGACACGAAAATGAAACATAAGAGAATCTGAATCCTAAGCACAAAAATATGAAGATATGGGAGAAATCATAGACATATGTGAATCACTGAGTCTTCTCTTCTTCATATTACTTTTCCTTTTTCTTTTACTGAGCATTCCTATTCTTTTCCCTTTTTTTGATTTTCTTCTTCTTTTGATTCTGATTCTGATTCACTGTGTTTTTGTGATTTTTTAGAAGAATTTTTACTTCTCTTCTTTGTTGAAACCTAAAACATAAAAAATCACAATCAAAATTAAAATAAATTCAAAATCTAAATAACTTTAAATATTGATTCAACCAAAATAGATGAATTAATCAACTAACCTTGTGATGGATTTCACCAAATAGATTTTGACGGTTCTGATAGGGATGAGAATTGCGATTGCGATCCTGCAAATATCATTGAACAAACCGCGAACGAAATTGTTGAAATTGTTATCGAAATTATTGTCGAACTCGAAGCCGTGAACAGAAAACAACATTGTTGTCCTTGCCGTTGCCATCGTAGAAATACTTTGTGGATTGACTTGGCTTATGAGTTATGGCAAAAGAAGATGAAAAACTTTATTCATTTTATATTGAAAGTAGAACTTTAGTAGAGGTAAGGTATACACAGTACACAACCTATGAAATTATGGAAAAATAAAAATAGGAACTTATTGGAACGTGGAGAAGTGGAATTTTAAATTAAAGAAATGATTGTGTTGTAGTAAATGTAATAAATATATTATTTTAAATTAAAGAAATGATTAAGAGTTATAATGACTTATATATATATATATATATATATATATATATATATATATATATATATATATATATATATATATATATATATATATATATATATATATATATATATATATATATATATATATCCTTACAAATCCATGTTAAAACTAATTTGAGTTAGTTAATAACGTAATTATGATAGTCGTTAGTTTTCTTATATTAAAAGTAGATAAATCGAACTGTTAGTGCGTGAGGTACTTTTAGTGAGGAGAGAAAGAGAGAATAATAAAGGAAAATAAGGATTTGTATTATTCAAGTGTACAAATAATGTACACACTATGACTATTTATATACAACCCTAATTGGGCTTGGGCTAACACAACTTGGATTATATTAAATATTAAATCTAATCTAATCTAATTTAATATTTCAACACACCCCCATAATCCAAGTTGTCGAACATCCTCAAAAATAGTCAATCTGAACTATTCCTAATTTCTTTCTCAAATTCAAGAATTTGTCGATCTTCAATCCTTTGGTGAAAATATCGGCCAAGTGTGCTTCACTTGAGCAATGCCTAACTTCAAGTTCACCTTGATTTACTTTTTCCCTCAAGAAGTGAAACCTTACTTCAATATGTTTACTTCTTCCATGCAGAACTGGATTTTTCGCCAGATTTATGGCTGACTTGTTGTCGATTTGCAATACTAGAGGTTTCTTCACTTCGACAGTCATTTCTTCAAGTACAGATCTGATCCAAATTGCTTGACATGCAGCATAGGATCCCTCTATATATTCAGCTTCACACGATGACAATGCCACCACAGGTTGCTTCTTCGAACACCATAAGATTGGGGAACCAAATACTTGAAAGAAATATCCAGTTGTGCTTCTTCGATCTTCCTTATATCCACACTAATCAGCATTTGAAAAACAATTAACTATTGCTTCTTTGCCTTCAGAATCTCGTCGAAATAGTATTCCATAATTTATTGAACCCTTCAAATATCGAAGGATTCTTCTTGCAGCCTTCATATGTGACACTCTTGGTTCACCCATATATCTGCTTACTAATCCGACTGCAAAACCTATATCAGGTCAACTATTGCACACATACCTCAGAGATCCCACAATTTGCTTGAACAAAGTTGCATCGACTTTGTCTTCCTCTCCATTCTTCTCCAACTTCACATTTGGTTCGACAGGTGAGGATGCAAGATTCGAATCATATATTTTGAATCTCTTGAGTATTTCTTTGACATATTTTCTTTGATGTAGAACCATACCTTGCTTCGACATTTGAAATTCCATGCCTAGAAAATAAGACAATTTTCCTAGATCCGACATTTCAAATTCCTTCATCATCAGCTCTTTGAACTTTGACAAGTTCTCCAAACTATTTCCAGTTACTAGCAAGTCATCAACATACAAGAAGATGCTTGTTATATCTTGTGCTACAACCTGAACATAGACACCATACTCTGATTTGCATTTGACAAATCCCAATTCAAATAAGTATGAGTCGATCTTCTTGTTCCATACCCTAGGTGCCTGCTTGAGGCCATAGAGCTCTTTGTGCAATCTATATACTTTACTCGCTTCCTTCTGAATTACAAACCCAGGAGGTTGTGTGACATAAACTTCTTCGTCTAAAGGACCATTCAAAAATGCTGATTTCACATCAAGATGAAATGTTGACCAGCCTTGGTTGCATGCCAATGTTACTACTAGTAGAACAATCTTTAATCTTTCTACTGGAGCAAATACTTCAGAGTAGTCAAGTCCTTCTCTTTGAAGAAAACCTCGAGCTGCTAACCTTACTTTATGTCTTGCTAATGACCCAAATGCATTGTGGTTCAACTTGAACACCCACTTTACTTCGATAGCTTTTGTATGTGTTGGCAATTCGACTAACTCCCATGTGTTATTTCTTTCGATTTCCTGTAACTCTTCGACCATAGATAACTTCCACTTGTTAATCTTTAAAGCTTTTCTATAGTTGATTGGTTCAGCACCTGCAAGTAAAGCAAAATGAACTAATTCTCCATCTGGTGTGATTTCATCATCACCCATCACTTTATAATCATAAAGTCTTGTTGGAATAACTCTATTTCTTTGAAGTCTTTGGCTTGTTTCAGCCACAACCTCTTCGACTTCGACTGTGACGGGAGTGTCAGAAACCGCTTCCTCTTCGACTTCGATTGGATTCTCAACAATTTCTTCGACCTCTACTTCATTAGTTTCTACGTCGAAATTAAAGTTCATTAATGATTTGTTAATTGAGTTGCTAGAATTCCAATCCCAGGCAGAATTTTCATTAATCATAATATCTTGACTCAACACAATCTTTTCATTAACTGGATTGAATAGTCTGTATGCACCAGTTTTATGATATCCTACCAGAATCATAGGTTCACTCTTGTCATCAAGATTCCTTCTCCTTGCATCAGGAACATGCTTGTAACACATAGAGCCAAATACAATCCTTATTTGGCTTCCATGAAACCCTAGAAGTGGTTATCGGCGGTGTTCCGGCATTGGCTACAAATGCAACCGACGAACAGAAAAAAGCCCACAACAAAGTCAAGAAAAAAGATTGCATCTGTTTTTTCCATCGGATCCAATTTTTACCGTCAAGCATTGGAAGAGAATTTGGAATGCCCTTATCACTAGCCATCTTCGCAGCGGTTGATTTACTTGCCCTAGAAAAATGATCTCTGACGTGAAATTCTTGAAAACTTGATCAAGAACAATAACCGGAAGCTCTGGATATCAATTTGTTAGTGCGTGAGGCACTTTTAGTGAGGAGAGAAAGATAGAATAATAAAGGAAAATAAGGATTTGTATTATTAAAGTGTACAAATAATGATACACACTATGACTATTTATATAAAACCCTAATTGGGCTTGGGCTAACACAACTTGGATTATATTAAATATTAAATCTAATTAAATCTAATCTAATCTAATTTAATATTTCAACAAATCCTGATTTGCATTTGAAAAATCCTTATTATTCCAACACTTGAGGGGGAGTGTTGAAATAATATAGCAAGTGTGAGTAAGTGGGGAAATAGTCTCACATTAGATAGGAATGTGGAGACTTAAGCATATATAAGTGGGAGAATCCACTCACCTATCATCTTAAGGTTTTAGGTAGATAAGTGGTGTGTCTCTCACAAAGGTGCTTGTTCCTACACTATGCATCAATGCTCCTAATAATCTCCCCCCAACATGGTATCATGAGCCTTTGGTTTGAGAAAGGGATCGGAAGGAACTTGTATCGAAATTTACCTAAAAAGTGGTGCGGTACAAGTGAGGGAGCATTGTAGACTCACATTTAAGAGAGAGTGTTGGAATAATATAGCAAGTGTGAGTAAGTGGGGAAATAGTCTCACATTGGATAAGAATGTGGAGACTTAAGCATATATAAGTGGGAGAACCCACTCACCTATCACCTTAAGGTTTTAGGTGGATAAGTGGTGTGTCTCTCACAAAGGTGCTTATTCCTACATTGTCCATCAATGCTCCTAGTATCTCCCCCCAACAAGTTCTGTAATACGGTGGCAGAACCGACTGTTAATATACTGGTTTGTATTTTTTGTTCGCAAATGTGCGGTAAGCAAGAGTCGTCATCGACTTTTCTTTTATCCAAAAAGGAAAAGGTGAAAAGAACAGAAAAAGATCTTTTTTCGAGATTTTTGAGTAAGGGGGGGTAGATTATGGAAAGGGAAGGTGTTAGCACCCTTTCCATCCGTGGTTTTCCACGGGCTCTTAGATGCTTAGCTCATGTTTTGAAAATTTCTTGTGCTTTGTGTGTTTTGAAAATTGTTTTGAAAATATCTTAGTATGACGATTCTCTTTGTGATAACTCATGTATCATTCCTCAAAAGTGTTGACAAGGCGAATGTTTTTGAAAGTGTTTTGAAATATTTTTGTGTAGGTGCAAAAAGTTGTTTTGAGCAAGCATATAAGAACTTATCTACTTATACTCGAAAAGGTCATTCTTTTCTCCCTATCATTTAGATAGTGATATCCTACAATTAGTGAGTAGGTAGCCATAGTCGTTGGATGTTTGAGGGACTATCAAAAGGGAGGCTTATGGTCATTGAAGGAAACATGTAAGGATACCTTAGCATTTCGAAGGGACTATCATCATAAGATCATTTCTCGTAGGCAACTCGAGGGACAATAAGGGACTGTGATCTCTATGACAACTTTGAATTACGGGTCTTTGCTAAGAGTATCCATATGTTCGAGGGACATGACCATTGTTTTCCGAGGCAACCAAGTGGGGAGTACCCTAGAGGTGCAAGTGTGCAAATGATTTAATTCAGTTATTTATCTTGCAATTAGGGATTTCTATCGTTCTCTTTTATCTTTCCATACAATCCTATTAATCTAAGTATTGCAGGCGGAAATGTAAACCTAAGCTATTACAGAACTTTGGGGCAGTTACATAATAATGAAGAGTGCGGAAAAGAAATCTTAAAACTATTACATCCCGGAAGCAATTACATGATAATGATGAAAAAAAGCGGGAAAAATAAAGCTATGTTATTACAGTTGAATGCGCCCTATACACTTTATCTAGGAAAATAAAAATAAGATGAAAATAGCAAAGAAAATGTTTTGGTGATTTTTTATGAAAAAAATGATTTATGATAATTAATTAAATAAACCTAAAAAACCTAATTAATTTTAATTAATAAAAAATGTTAATTTAAAAAAAAATTTAATTAAAATACCTAAATCCTAATTAGTTTGAATT